ATATATTTTTAGTTGTCTGATTAATTTCTTTCTATTTTTAGTAGAGACGGGGTCTCACTCTTGCTCAGGCTGGTCTTGAACTCCTGAGCTCAAGCGATCCTCCTGCCTCGGCCTCCCAGAGAGCTAGGATTACAGACGTGAGCCACCGCGCCCGGCCTGTATCAGTATACTTTTGAATATACTTACATTAAGATCCATTTGTCTTTGTTCTTTGAATGGATCTTTGAAGTGACAAGCTCATTTCATTCATTTTTTAGGAAATATCTGCCAAATACCTAAATCTGAACAACTATGGTTTGTCACTTGTTCTTTCAAGTCAGAATATGTTCCAACTTGCGACTCAGTCACATAAGTGCTTTTCCACAGGACAGCCAGACTGCTTTGGTGTGCAGATGTGCTTCATGCCCACTTTCTACTTCGTCTCACAGCGTATCAAAAATTAGTGTACGGAAGGGCCCAGAGTTCATAAAATTAATAATTTTTACTGCTTCATGAAGGCTGTTCTTAAGTGACATTGGCTTTTTAAAAATTGTTTTTTACTGAGCGTGCGGCAGTAAAGAATACAGTGACTTACTAGTGCAGTTTGGTGTCACTGCCTTAATTCATGCTAAGGCACAGCAGTTTTATCTTCCACTGCTCTTGTGCCATCAGTGCAAAAGTGAACAAAGGGGAAAAGTCAAATTACAGTTTAGTGTGACACAAATAGTTTTGTCCTTGCAGACCCCCTTACACAAAGGTTCTTGAGGTCCCTCCCTGCCCCCATGTTCCCTAGACCACAGTTGAAGGGCTGTGATCTGGTCCACCTCCCATCCTATTAAAGAATCCCTCCAATATCTTTGAGAATCACCTTCCAGTTTCCCTCAGGGATATCTAATGTGGGGGAAATTCACTATCCTGTGAAGCAGCCCATTACATTTTTGAAAGTTCTACAGACTAACTCAGAATTTTTTTCCACTGATGGCCCTTGACAAAGTTGAGGATAATTTTCGTGAATCCCCTGTGTCTTTTATTTTTTAGCATAAATTTATGTTTCCAGTTTCTTCAGTGGCTCCTCCCATGGCCTGATTTCATATGCCCTGGTCATCTTTCTTTAAAAGGGAAATGAAAGGATGTTATTTAGTTCATTCAAAAAGATATTTACAAAATAACCGTGGGTCCTTTCCACTGTTAGACACAGTATAAATATGCGTAAGACTTGGTTCTTATCCTAAAGGAACTAATTTTGAAGATGTGATTCATGGCTGGACACAGTGGCTCACGCCTGTAATCCTAACACTCTGGGAGGCTGA